ATGCATAATTTCAGTTAGGGTGAAGAAAAGCTTTTGGCTTCTCTCCTGAGGCCACAAGAGGGCGCATCGAGCAGAATATTACTAATGCACGTTTATTACGATTGCACAATTAATCGAATTTCTAATCGTGATTACAATTATGGATGCCACAATTACGTAATCGTTCAAAGCGGCAATTAATCGTTCAAAGTCCACTTATGTTATTCTGTGTGCTTAAGATGCTTTTTTTTTTTCTTTCTACATGTTATCTTAAGGGTTTTTCCATTACTTTAATTTTAGTATAACATTATAATACCATTCATATTTTTACTTTTTTTATAATTTAAAGAAACCAATCCGATGTATATTTGACATTTGAGGCTTAATACTATAGAAAAGCACTAAAAATTTTTCAGTTAGTGTCTTCAGCTTGTTTATTTTCATATAAAAATACGGCATGCAGTTGCATCAAACAATGGTATAAACATCATTCAATGTAAATTGTGATAATCGTAATTAATAATCGCAATTACAATTTCAAGGCAATAATCGACCAATTATGATTTTTGTCATAATCGTGCAGCCCTAGTTTTACATCCAAGTTCAAATTTCAAAATGTCATTTTTTTTTAATGTTAAAATTAATTATGTACTATTATAGTATTTATTAATATTTTAGAATTGGCGCTTATTTTTATATATATTCTGATTTTATTTTAATTTAAGTTTTAGTAATTTTGCTTTGTGCTTTTGCCAATTTTATTAGGTTTTAAAAAATATTTCGTAGTACTTCCAACTTATTTCAGTTTCTACCGTTTTTCTTTCCATTCTTTTCTCTTTCTTTATGTACTATTTGTTTTATTTTATTTTAAATTTATTTAAATTACTGAACTAAATTTTTTTATATTTTCAGTTTTTGTTAACAATAAGAACATACCAAAATACTTTTACCTCAAAAAATATATATAAAAACTTTTTTAAATAATAAAGATATGTACGCTTCTACGGCGTAAGGGAAATGTTACTACTTGGTAGTTACACTACTTGATTTTACAGTCATTAAATTAAATTTTTTCTTGGAAAAAAAAAGTTTTATATTATAAAAGTTTATAAAAAAGGTTTTATATATTTAAAATTTTTTAGCCCCTATAAATCTGACATAAATATGAAAAGCATGTGTCTAAGAACTTGTCACACATTTTTAAGCTTGATGTTTCATTTTCTTTGTCATGGACACTCCCATTTATCATTGACCCATTTATTTGTGCAAAGGATCCCATAAGCGCAGCCACAGTCTGGGAGAGAAAGAAATTGTACGGTCCATCCCCTCTCCTGCCCCTGAGCAGCCCTTCAGAGACCGATCCAACACCCTAAATGAAAAACCTGCACTGCCGGTCATCCGCGACAAGTACAAGGACCTCACAGGAGAGGTGGAGGTCAGTCACATGCTCTCTCTGTTCTCTCTGGTACATACATTCTCTGTGAGCACACAGACAGGTTCTCCTTGTTGAATACAGCCTGAGGTTTCTCAGTGAACAAAGCTTTCATTCTGTTTCATCTTTCTCTTTTTTTTTTCTCCCACTGTCTCTCGTCCAAACACTCGTGGCAGGAGAGTGAGCGATATGCGTACGAATGGCAGAGGTGTTTGGAGAGCGCTCTGCAGGTAACATATACCTCCACACACACATTCATAAAGAGCTTGGCATACACTTTAAAACTGTATCAGTCTATAGAAAGTCTCAGAAGGGTTGGATCATGATCACATGATACCAACACTACCATAAAAGTGTGATCTGATCAAATAAGAACTTCATTGATTCAGCAGTTGCTTGTTATTCAGCAGGGCCATTGTTACTCATTTCACAGTCATAAAAGGTTTTTTTACATATACAATTTTTAACGGTATAGTAGCAAAAGCTGCCTGGCTGTTAATGTGCAGTCCCAGCCAGTCAAAACATATTTGATGTTGATTTTGGGCCAATGAGATTTCACTGTGGGAGGAGCAACCCAACTTTTTATGCTTTATTGCATAGGATGGCTTTTGGTGTAAGGAATATTTCAAGCTGGCCTTACCTAAATATAGTTAACCCAAAAAATATTTTCATTTATTTTTCCAAACCCATATATGACATGTCAAGCTAATGGTCGGCCAGTGTTGGGCCATGTTTGAGGGTTTGTCGATCTATTTTTTGTGGTGTGTTAAACACCACTAGTCGGACCTCCGTTGGTGGCTTTTCATCCAATTGAGCATGTTGAATAATTGGCAGAGCTGCTTTTTTTATGGTTTGTACATCTGCAGTGCTAGTTTGTTTCCATTTTTGAATGACAAATACTGACCTGCTGGTATTAGGGATGTAACGATATCAAAATCTAACGATGCGCTTATATGACGATATGAAGTCCAGGATACAATATTTGTTGCGATATAAAACAAAAAAAGACAAATGAAGAATTAAAAAAAAAAATTACAATTGTTTTACATTTTAAAGTTAAATTATTCTATCTAATGCACTTTGAGAGTTCAAAATGAAGAGCATCAACCCATGTTCCTAACTAAGAAAACTTAAGTCAGAAAAAAGTAATTGAATCTTTTTGTACCTGAACTTTAAAGGTGACTCAACCTTCTTTTTATTTGTGATATACTGTCTGTCTAAATTACATTCACACTGGTGTTTAATGAAGCCAAACAAATTAGAATGTAATGATAATAATACTAATAACAACAATGACAGTAATAGTCATATATTGTAAAACAATTGTACTGTAAAATAAATGAAAATTAATATATCAAAGGTATATTATTTTTGCTTTACACTACAGTAGGGAAAATACAATACTACTTTTCTCATTTCTACACTTGAAAGAGATATTTTGAATTTGGACTGCATTTAAACCACTAGCTATCAGCAATTCATACTGCACTTTTAAGCTTTTATTTTGACGGACACGGCAGTAGAGCTTTTATTTTGTAGGAAAACTCCAGCTTCAGTGAAAACGGGCTTGCAAAAACGCGTCTAACTACAAATCTAGTGAAATGCTGTGATCATCTGCCACAAAAATAAAGCCTAACTGGTGGCTGTTGCATTCTCAAATGCGCGCTAAAATCACAGCACATGCAATAAACGAGTTCACGCCATTCATTCACTGTAAACAGAGCCGTTCTGAGGCATGAAAAACACCGGATCACGAGCTGATCGCCTCAGCAATGTGTGTGCTTTGCTTTAAAACACGCAGCAAAAACAGAGATGAAGTGATTTGTGCCAAAGCATAACGGCCCAAAATGCAACTTTAAAGACCTTTTATGTTTGAATAAGAAGTTTAAATACATTTTAAAAACTACACTTTTTGCCCGGAAGACCTATCCTTTCATATTGTCATGTGACCACAGACAGTTTTGCTATCACGATATTGATAATATCGTTACATCCCTAGCTGGTATGGAGAGTTATTTCTTCTCATGCAGTGGCAGAAAGTATGTGCTAGTTGACCGCTGACACTCTTTTTACCATTTTGCAGTGTTTACTAGTGCAACTGCCCAAGATGGCTTTCTCCACCACTAGTTTTTTGATGATGGTTCAGTGTGTCTGGGCCTCATTTTCTGCGAAACACAAAAGAAGATATTAAAAAAAAAATGGCAATGCAAATGGACCCCATTGACTTCCATTGAATGGAATGTCATTGTATGTTTTATCCGCAAATATTGATATATGAAATTGTTATTTTTATTTATTTCAGGAAAAAAGTAAAAGTATAATATAAAATATGGTCACTTTACAGCTTTCTTTTTATTTTCCAGGTCATCACCACTGCCAATAACACCCTTAATGGCATCAGCAGCTCCACGGTGTGCACAGAGGTCATCCAATCAGCACAGGGGATGGAGTACCTGCTGGGTGAGACTACGACTGCAGTCACACTTTATTTACTGGTCAGAGACCAGCTTTACCCATCATACCCAACATCCATAAAACTCAAGATCAGCCCCGTAACACAATCTCTTCATCCACATTCATACCTGCTCCTCATGCGCCTCTGCAGTCTTCAGTCAAACAGACAGGCCAGGTGTTCTGGTTATCTGCTTCCTATTTTTGTACTCACTCTCTCACACAGAGCAGCTTTAATGAGCTGTACGTGCCAATGCCCGCGGGAGGGGAGCATGGGGTGCTGTTGTTACGTAGAAACAAACCGGTAAAGCTCTTTGATCCGGCTTTAGCGATTGTGACTGGAGACCGAGCAGGGCATTCTGGGTCTGACCGGAGGAGGCTAGTGTTACAGAGCAGTGCGACTATTCTGGGCTGCTCTAATGGGTTCAGTGTAAAAGGACATTCAGCACTGGGGATGCTGGGAATGGCAGCGCTGGGTTATTGTTTCGCCTGTTTGGTTCTCTCAACACACACACACACAGGCTCTGTTTGCACTGCACACAAATCCAGTTTGCTTTTCAAATCTGATCTTCAGAAGTCCTTACTGATCCATTTGTTCACATAGTGTTATGAATATCCGTAATACTTTTGCTTTGGTTGCTATAGTAATGATGCCAAGAGAAAACTGGAAATACTGTTTCCACAACAACTGACTCATTCACTTATTCAACATGGTAAATGTCACATATGAAAAGAGATAATGTAAATTAGTGAGCACAGCTTCAGACAATATTGCACAATTCTCATTACATAAGCATTGCATCCCGAATGGTGACTTGAAGTCTGATTTAAAAAAAAATGTTTTAATTAAATAATAGTTTTGGTAAAGGAGTAGTTCACCCAAAAACTCAGAAACTTGGCTGAAAAAGTACTCACCCTCAGGCCATCTAAGATGTAGGTGAGTTTGTTTCTTCATCCGAACAGATTTGGAGAAATTTAACATTACATCACTTGCTCACCATTGGATCCTCTGCAGTGAATGGGTGCCGTCAGAATGAGAGTCCAAACAGCTGATAAAAACATTATAATCCACGCGACTTTTAATTGTATATTGTTTTTATTAATTGATTTCTTTTTTGGTATATTATGTATAGGTGTGGTGGAGGTGTATCGTGTGACCAAGCGTGTAGAGCTGGGGATAAAAGCCACGGCCGTTTGTTCAGAGAAACTACAGGAGCTGCTTAAAGACATCAGTCGCGTGTGGAACAACCTGATGGGCTTCATGTCACTGGCAAACCTCACTGTGAGTTTTTATTAAATAAACACTACCACATCTTTAGTAAGTACACTAGTATTTCTGTTACAACAGACAGTCCAGTAAGTCACACATTGATTAATGCTTAACTGAAATGTGAATATATCTGTGGGATTAATGTGGTTTATATGAGCTGTGAGCTTTGGAGCAGTAGGCACTTTCTACTAATAGGGCACAAAAATGGACCATTATAAAATAATTTTTGGTCAAAATGGTCAAACTAAGTATTTTTTGAGCTTTTTGCAGTTTTTGTACCTAAATTTGAAATATGGTTACAATTTAAAACCTGTGCTACGTAATCACGAAAACATTTGCATGCGTATTTAAGCATTTTTGCAAGTATCCTCGTAAACACAGTAGGTCTTAAGTGAAATCAAAAAGCTGAGAGAAAAAAAAAACATGCGTAACCTTATATTCGATCCGGGCAGCTCTTAAAGTGACAGCAGTCTAATATTCCTGCTGTCTGTCATTCATGTTAATCAAACAAAAATCACTACTCTTGACTAAATCACTTTTGTAACTTTAATAAGAAGAAATATATATTTAATTTACACAGTGAAAAATATGCAGTGTTTTTATACATTTGATTACTGTATACACTGTATGTAGCATTTCTTATTTAGTTGTTCTACTGTAGTTTTTTGTTCTATTGCTTGTAATTAGTTATTCTTATTTAATCTCTGACAGTTTACTTGTCTTTGTGAGCGTTTAAAAAAAAATTTAGGCTAGTATTAGTTTTTTGTGATATTGATACTGGTGACAAGAATTATGAAATTGCTATGGTAACAAAAATGTTGATATCATAAAGACCTTATTTAAAGCAAAAATATCTTTAAAAAAACAACAAAAAAAACTATATTATAATATACAGTATACCGTTACTGTGAAATAAAATTACTCATATCATGATAAAAGATTTTGGTCATATCGCCCACCCCTATTAAATAGTTTTTTTTTTTTATTCTAAAATTGTTTAATATTCACTTAAAAATGCATATTTATTTTACATATTTTTTTTCGCTCTGTTCAAAAGAAGCTCAAGTTATTTTTGACATTTTAATTAAACAATATGAGGTTAAAACATATTTAAATGAAACACAGCTCAGATTAATTGTTCACAAAAGATCTCTATAACATTAATTTAAAAAATAGGGTAAATTTGCATATCATGCCAGGGAAAATCATAATTTTAATTAACTTGGTATTTTTATGTCTGATGATAATTTTTAAAGAATATCTCACTAAAAAATGGTATATGTGCATCTTGATACTTAAGTAATGAGACACTAAAGTGTATGTTATTTGTGGAAAGTGCAGTAGTACAGAACAGATTGCTGAGTGCAGAACAGAGCTTTTTCATGCAGCGTACTCATGGGAGAATATCAATGCCAGCAGATAATATTAGAGTTGTGTGGTCAGATAATATCAGCTTGGGAGAATGAAGTCTCGGCACACTGCCGTAAAACCACAAACGCTCTGAAGCATAATAAAAATGAACGCGGTTAGAGCGTTGACGGGTTCTCTCTGCCTGAATCCTGCTGTTTTGGACAGATTCTGTAGCTGATGTATTGATCTGAAGGGCCAATCAACCGCTGTGAGGTTCAGCGGCCTCTGTGAACTGAAGTTTGACTGACAGCCAGGGATTTGTGTGAAGGATGCAATGGAGTCCCAATTGCTTTTTAAGAACTGCATTCATGATGTATGTGTGTGTGTGTGTGTGTGTGTGTGTGTGTTTCTTTAGCCTGATGAGAGCTCACTGGACTTCTCCTCCTGTATATTGAGGCACGGCATTAAGAATGCCAAAGAGCTGGCGTGTGGAGTGTGTCTGCTCAACGTGGACTCACGCAGCAAGGTCTGTACACACCAAACACACACATGTCTGCATACACAAAAAAAACCCACAAATATATTGCATATTAAAGGGATACTTCACCCAAAATTAAAAATTCTATTTATTCACCCAAACTCCTTTGACCTTATTTCTTCTGAGAAACAAAAAAAAGCTGAATTTAAGTATGTTCTTGTTGCTCTTTTCCATGCCATTACTGTGAATGGGTACCAGAGCTTTCATGCTTCAAGAAAAGGATTTAAAAGCACTAGAACAGCATCATAAACATAATTTAATTCTTTATTCACAGACAATTCAAACATCTGCTCCATCTTTAAATTGGTCATTCATAGGAGTAGCAGCGATGTCCAATTTGTACAATGTTTATACTGTTACAGTTGTATTAATATTTTGAATTAGCTTTTAGTTTTATAATAATTATTATTGTTATTATTTTTATTAGCAGTAGTATTAATTATCTTTCATTTGAATTAAATTTTTAATAGCTTTGTTCCTTTATAATCTTTTCTTTAAATATTGCTATTTAGGTGTAATTTATTCTATATATTTAGTTGTTACTTGTTTTTACTTCTTAGTAATTTTAGTGCATCAACTTAAACTTTTTTCAGTTAGTTGCCAACATAACATTTGTAATTTTTAACTTTATAAAGTTTTTCCTTATATTTATGTATATATATATTTTTCAGCTTATTTGAGTTCAGAAAAAAAAAAGTTAATAGTTTGCTTCAGTTAAAAACAATAACCCCTGATTCGATTTAAGTTGGTCTGTTCTCAAACAAAGCTATGCTAAGCTAAAGCTAAGCTTAAAAAAAAACTTGCAATGTAGAGCATGAGTCATATTGGGATACTTTTATGGTGCTTTTGCTTTTATGTTGCTTTTAAAGCTTCAGTCCTCATTCATTGTAATTGCATAGAAAATGTTTGGGTGAGCTATTGCTTTAAATTATTGAACAGAAGATTCATTTAAGTTTCCCTATCAAAAACAAACCAAAAAAAAACATCCCTCCTGACTATTTCTTTGATTTTCACAATTTTCCAGAAGAAAGACGAGAACACTTTTGGACGCCTGTTTAAAAGAGTAGGATTCACTAAACTGCCTCAACTCCAATTTGCAGCTTGTTGCAGGGGTCAGGCGGGCATTCGCTCCCGTGTTGTGCTGCCAAAATGACCAGAACTCACCTCTCGCCACTCGTCTCCTTACAGACTGCCAAAAACGGCTCTCAGAGGCGCACGCTCTGACTCATGCATCTAAATCTGCAGACGCTCGGTCGAGGCCACGCTTTCATTCAACTAGCTTTAGGTGTTTAATTTGGCTATGAGCTCTTGGCTCCCGTTTTCTCAGCATTTACACAAATCTTTCATGATGAGTTTATCTTACCAAAGCGGCGAGTAAGTCTGACTGATGACCAAAAAGCTTGAGGTAGGCAGCAAATAGGTGACGTATTCGTCATTTTGGCACCCCGGGGCGGTGGAGAACAAATCTAAAAGTGGTATGGGGCAAAGGAAATATAATTTTAAAGGGAATAGTTCACACAAAAATAAAAATGATGTCATTTATTTGCTCTCATTTTGTTCTAAACCATTGTTTTTTGTTTTTTTTGCTTCCATGGAACGCAAATGGAAATATTTAGCAGAATTTCCAAGTTGCTGTTTTCCAGACATTATATTTGAGATGCTATTATATATATATAAATTTTTTTTTAATATTAGTTTTTATTTTTGTATTTTTGACTTTAAAGGGGTCATATGATGTTGCTAAAAAGAACATTATTTACATGTTGCGTTGCATCGCGCCGCGTAAACATAAAACCATGTCTGCATTTGTGATCGGAGAAATGACAAACAACAAGCCCTACTCTACACTGCCCAAAAAACTCGCTTTAAATATAAAAAAATATAAAATATAAAAACTGCAACAACAATTGCGGCAGCAACAACTATACTACAGCGAGAATAAAAGTTACGCCTTCTTTCTTTGCGTGAACATTTGGGCGGCGTTATGCAAATCTTCCCACATCGTGACGTAGACATGTGGGGGGGGGGTTAGAACGAGCAGTTTTAGGTAGGCGTGGTTGACTCTTAACTTTTATAAAGAATATCTCTTTGGATTTGAGACTTTAGTCTTTGCAACTTTACAGATCTTTATGCACCAAGAGCTTGTAACACTCCAAAGAGAAAGGAAAAATTGAAATCGCATCATATGACCCCTTTAATGTTAGTTAAAAGTTTTAGAAATTGTTGTTTGTCATTTTTTTTTTTTTTTAATGTCAATTTAATTTTTCTTAATTTCAGTTGCATTACATTGATCAAAAGTGATCAAAGAATTTATCATATGAAAAAATATTTTTGATAATAGAAATCAGCATATCAGAATGATTTCTTGTGTAATTTTTATTATTGTCAATTGAATTTTTATTCATTTAATTTCAGTTGTAGTTATTTTAGTACATTGAGTTAAACTAAATGAAAATCAGAAATGACAAAGCTAGTTGCTTTGTCAACTAGCAGAAATAAAATGTTTGTTTGTTTTATTTCAAGTAACACATTTTATTATATTTTTTTAATGATTTTAGTTTTAGTTAACTATAATAATCCTGCCTAGCACCCAAGTAGTTTAGACTACCATAACTTTGAGTAAATGATGACAGAATTAACATGTTTGGGTGAACTATACATTTAAACTCTTCTAAGTACAATCCAATCCCGCACTAGTTTAAACACGTAATTGTCACATTGCCATTCGCCTCGTTAACATACAATGGCCAATCCGCTCATTAAGATTCCTTGTTTCACTGAAACCCTCCTAAATCTCCCTTGTATTCATGCAGCGGTCAAGATTTGCTGGTGTAATAGGGGTGTAAACGTGGCTCGTAGTGCTCTAGATGCACTCAGGGAAGGAGGGGCTCAGAGCAGCAAGGAATCATGGGATGGATGGATGTCTGAGGAGCAGATTCAGCTCAGCCATCAGTCACCGTGACCAAAAACACAGGTGCTAATAGATCCGCTGAACACATCCAGCCCGCTGCAGATTAATAGAGCTGTTTCTGTCTGCTCCTGACATCCGATTAATATCCCGCTCTTTAATTAGGTTTTTGGGGGGCAGCGTCACTCTCTGGGGCGACTGAAATCAGGGTTCTGAAAGTGGAGCAGCATCTCTGAGAGGAGATGTGTTTAAAGGTGGTGGTGTTGGGCTACAGGTGGAGATTTCACTGGGGTGTGGATGATTCAGTCTACTGACCTTGGGCTAGCATTCGGTGTCTGTTCCCACTGGGGAAGGACGGGATCCTGCTGCATCTGCTAACAGGATTTGTCCACAGGAATGGGCAACGGTGTATTAACTTAACACTTTGCATAGATTCTCTATTTAACTGAAATGAAACTGTATATACAACTAACATTCAAAAGTTTGGGGTCGGTTGAGTTTTTTTTTTTTTTTTTTTTAATGAAAGAAGACTCTTATGCTCACCAAGGCTGTAAAAATGCAGCGTTTAGAAAGCGCCACAGTGTTTACATGCTTCAGAAGTCAACATGCGAATCGCTTGCTTATAATTGTCTCTGCACTGTAAACTAGCAGGAAGTATTTAAGTATTTTGACATTAAAAATGGCATACTTCAAGTCGGTTAAGTAGTTATGGATTTGCAAAAGGCATTTTTGTTTGTGCAGTAAACAACTGTTATAATGACTGTTTACTTAGCAGTGTTTAGATTATACTCCGTGTCCAGATTTAATGTGAATTAATGTCATGCTAATGCAGCATCCTATTAAAGGTCCACACTCTGTGAGGTGCTAAAATTAGAACAGATGCCAGCTTGTTTAATCGAAGCACCTGTAGCACAGCTGGATGCAGCTAATGTGAACCGACAATAACAAGTAGCAGTTGAAAGGAAGCCATCAGGATTGGCTTGTATTTGAGCTGGATCTACTGAAGCAAAGTCATCCATTCTCAAATGTAGTAAGAACCCAGTACTACATTTTGTATTATATCGGTCTTTGGGTATTTAGGTATTTGGATTCTATGCATTTGTAATTATACATAATTGATGTTTTAAATACATAATGGCTGTTAAAAATATCTTAATAGGTCAAGTCAGGCGACTTCACACAAACAATACTGTAGATATTGTAAAGAGTACCATTTCAGTCTTTTGTTGTTTTAAATGTCCACCCAAGTTAGTTTGCACCCTTGCTTCTAATTAAAAAGAAGTCTTGGGCAAAAAAAACATGCAACCTGTTAGTTTTGTATTTACACAGGGATGCCAAAATCATGGACAATAGTATAATGAATAGACGCATTAATTATTAAATATTTTAGAGCTGCATGAGCATATTTAATATTTAAATTTATATTTGCGTTGCTCCATATATTTTATATATGCACATACACTACTGTTCAGAAATTTGAATTCTTTTTTTTTTTTTTTAAGAAATTAATGCTTTTAATCAGCAAGGATGCATTACATTGATCTAAAGTGACAGCAAAGACATTTATAAAGATTTTTGATAATAATAGCACTAAATCAGCATATCAGAATGATTTTTGAAGGATCATGTGACACTAAAGATTGGAATAATGGCGGCTGAAAAATTCAGCTTTTCCATCACAGGAAAAAATTGCATTTTAAAATATATTCAAACAGAACATTTTTAATTGTAATATGATATGAAAATATTAATGTTTTTACTGTATTTTTGCTTAAATGAATGCAGCCTTGGTGAACATAAATCTTCTTTCAGAAACAAAACAAAAAAATCTTATCAACTTTGACCAGTAGTAAATGCATTTCTAGTGCTTGTTTACATGCTCAGCACAACTCTTATTTATGCTGCAAAGCTATGTTTGATGATAGTTATGAACTCTAGTTGCATGCCATTATTTTCATGTCCGCAGTTGCCCCTTCTTGTCTCCTACTGTGGCTAATTTGCAACAAGCTTCTGCCTTTACAAGGACACTTTTCTTCCAGTATGCGCTCTCTGGTGCTGTAATTTTGCTCATTAACAAAAAGAGAAAAAAACCTTAATACTAATGCTGATGCTGACTTGTTTGTGCTACTTGCAGGCACTGACAAAAGACAGTCGCTCCAAATTAAGGGTAAATATTTCACTGTATTTTTCACTGTAGTGAATGTAGGTAAAGCTAGAGTGTCCCTCACTGGCCTTCAAACGCTTCAGACTCTGCTCGTAACAAGTGTTGTCATCTTTGCAGGTAGGATGCACTCTGTGTTTGCAATCAGTTAGTAATTAACCTTTCCGCCAGCTAAACAAGGTCAGTTGAATTAGGATGACCTTTTCAGCGACTGTTCATCTGCAGAGAAACAGAGCTTGTGCTGCAGCTGCCGCCCCTCTGTGCACCACACACACGTATATACCGCCGGAACAGCCGTTTCATCACACAGCATTGTTCAAATGTCTACTCAGACACACATCTTTGTACTACAAGGCAAGGCAGGAAGGAATTAAGAAAGTGCGAGTGTATAAGAGAGGCCGACAGATAGACAGACAGACAGGGAACTCAAAATCGGATGTTCTTGATGTTTACGTGTGCATTACATGTATTCTAAATTAGATTTCAGAACGAGTGTTAAAAACCAAAGAAATCCATCACAATAATGTCATCGGAGCTACTGCGAGTATGAGTATTTTTGCCTTGACTATGTCAGAAGAATATTTTAGCAAATTTTTACTCTTTGACTAACCAGTTTGTAAGACATGAGGCATAAATAAACATTTGTAAACACATGCACATTTGTAAGACGTAAAATATATGTAAACCTATGCATCATAGCATTGTGCATATGTGCAAGCCGTTTTTAAATCCAACTGAGAAAATAATTCGATTTAAGCATTTACATGTTTTATTTTTTGCCATTGATCAGATATTTTCAGGTCTACATCTGTCATCATTTAATTCAATCAAATTTTTATTGAGCTCAGTTGTATAATTTGAAGTGTTTACATGAAGGCTTTTATAAACAGATTAATTTGATTAAATTTTATATTTCATCATTTTTATTTTATTATTAATATTTTATGATTTTTCATTTCATACTGATTATTGAATTTGGGACGCAACTGTCTAGATCTGCCATTGTCTGTTGGAAAACCAGATAAGTTATGTACTACTGAATAATAGTTTATTTAAAAATTGTAAATGTGTCTTTTGTCTCTACCTTTTTGGATCTGCTTCTCTTCTGCACAAAAGTGTCTGGTTGGTTGATTCTTTGCTGGTGATTTCTCTACCATGTGAAGTAAATACTGCGGAGCTGTTCTGGATGTAACTTACGAATAGCAGACTTGTAATATAAAATCCATAAAACAATAAAGGTAAAACATTTAAAAGCATCAGGAAGTGTAGCAGTTATTACTTACAAGAGAGAAACATTTAGACATTGGCATCTTCTTTTATGTCATTGTTTTCTGTATGGTTGTGCTGGAACACAAGTCACTTTTGTAGTGGGTCTGGAAATGCTTGCGATTTTCTGAGAATCTTTTATAAAGCCTGGAAGATGTTCTTAAATGCTGTGATATTCAGTATTCTGGATTCAGATGCGACTCTTTTGAAGGACTTTGTTGTGTGCAACTTTGAAGGGAATTCAAAAGTCTGGGGATGTAAGAAGTGAAAAGCAAAGCCTTTCCCCTTCTTCCAACCCAAGCAGTTATCATAAGAACGACATAAACTTTCATTATGAATTCATTTCTTTTCATTGACGCACTTGTAATGAATCAACGAGAATACAACGGAGATTACGCGGCTTTGTGTACATGTTGGTCTTTGTCAGTGTTTTACTGAGGACTTAACATTGTATTCATTGTTGTCATCTACTTCATTTATGAGAGTTTTTGACTAAAATTGTCCTTTTGTGTCTGTATTTCTGTTTATAATTGAAGCACAAATTAAATATTTGAATGTTAGTACTGGATGCAAATGTGAATTTTTTGTGTCCCACATTGGAGTGATTACTTTGAGATTCTGTAAAGTCAGCCTTCATCTGTTCGGTCCGTGTATCAGGGCCAGCTAGAGACAGCACTTCCCTCACACTGACTCGGCGCTAATAGCTGCCATTCACAGCAATATTACCTTGGCAACCGTTTCCAAGGATACTGGACTTTGAATGTGTATGATTGTCGAAAGACATCATGATTTAGTCTCCGTCTGTATGTACAGAAGATGAGGAGTGACTTCTGTTAGATCAACATTTCCACCCTGTTGCTTATTCGCATCAAATGCCTGTTGAAAATTTAAAGGTAAAAGTAGTTTAAAATATGGATTTGAGTCGGCTTGCAATTTTGATGGGCTGTTAGAGTGGATAATGTTCCGTCCTTGTCTTTATACACGCGTGACTAGCAACCTTTATCCACCTTGTCGTCGCTGAACAGCAGGGATTAGATTTACAGAGACTTCCTGCTCCATGTTAATCCAGACTTTCTACAATGCATTAGAAGATTTAATACACAGGAAGTGAAATGGCGTTCTCTGACATGATCCTACAAAAGCTTTCAAAAGAAGGTTTTTACAGAAAAAAACTTCTCTAAAGAACCTTCCTTAAAAACATTTTAATAATTTAAACCTTTTGTGGAATGGAAAGATTCCATTGATGTTTAAGGTTCTTCATGGAATCATAGATGCCAATGAAGACCCTTTATTTTTAATAGTGGCTTCCATTAAAAGCACATTAAAACATTATACAACAGCCTGTCCATCAGTCAATTCCTACAGTAGGAATTACTTTTATTGACAAGTATTAAGGTATTTTATTATGTACAAATATTACTACGTAGCTTCATTGTAATGTGTACGTACTAAAAATCTAAACGTTAAAAAAATAAGCACAAGGAATACGTTAAAATATTTCACCCTTTATTCATTTTAACACTAATTAAATCAGAACTCTTTTACATGAATTCAGTTATTTTTAACACAAATTAGTAAAAGCTTTGCTAGGAGTCCTCTGACAGATGTCCTCTGGTTATAATTACTGCTTCACTGCAGAAAACATCTGAAAGAAACATCTCGAGTTAAAAATGAAAAACAGTAGAATTGCAAAAGGACCAAACAGGCAAACTAGAATTCATTGGAAAAAAAACTACTGCCATATTTATCGTTCTGCTTCTTGTGAAACATCCTGTTTTGTAGGAGCACTGATTATAAATGCCAATACTGTTCTTCATGGTGTTCAATAAAATTTCTTTTAATTTACATAGTTTATAAATCTGTTACACTTAGATAATATTGTAGCGTCTTTCTGTTAAACATTTTGTCACTTCACAAACCCTTCCAAAAATCTTTTTTTAGTATTTTTTTTGTATGCACAAGTTTAAATACACCTTGGAATATAATATTCTTACTATATATAATTTTCAAATGCTACCAGTAATCAAAATCAGACTGCTGCCTCTCAACAAAGACAGCCAGCCAAACTGAAACAACATCCTCACAATATTACGATTGATAAGTCTTAACCAAGGACTGAATTCCTGATTCTCAGCACCACACTTGGTTCCCAAAGTGCTCCTAAAACCAACATTATCATCGCCAAAATTTATTTCAGCATTCAAGGATGGATTATCACTTCTGACCTCATAAAATATGCACTCAAAGTGACTTTTTCCATCTTGAAAATGGACATAAGCACTCCCATCTGGCTTTATTCTCTGGCAGGAGGGACTTGTGGACGTACGGAAAGAGGCCGGAAGACAGTGCAGTCAAAAATCACTTGGCGGACCAGTCCTCTGTGCTTGAACCAAAGTCCAAACCCCTCTTCACAAGCCCCAGTAAGGTGCCAAGTTCCTGCGGTCTCTCTCGTACACGTCGGGAATGACCCCATATGGTGTCTGGATCATTTTCACAGAGTTCCTGCCGAACAGTTTCCTCTCGTACTCGATGAGCTGTCGCCAGAACCCTCCATTTGGACGAATGACGGGTCGGCGGGATTTGACCCAAGCGTGAGCCTCGGCCAGGGAAACTCTGTGGTACTTCATGAGGTAGGCCAAACAGAGCGAGGCGGAGCGGCTCACCCCAGCCGCGCAGTGCACTAGCACGGCTCCCCGTTTGCGGCCCACGCTGTGGATCTTATCAGCCACGCTGTCAAAATAAAGCGAGATCGGAGAATGAGGCATATCGGCCAGTGGCACTTTCACGTACTCCATGTGTGGCCAGTTGAAGTTGGGCAGCTCGATGGTGGCGTTCACCACACAGGTAATCCCTTTGGACAGGAGGAGGCTGCGGTTGGACGCCACATTGCCCCGGCCGAGGAACAGGGAAGGAGTGATCTGGGCGATGCCCCCCAACAGGCTGCTGGTCTCGGGCAGCAATCGGGGGACTGCTGTGGGCACCACTGAACTGCGGTGGTGGGGATGATGGTGGTGATCTTGGTGGTGGAAGAACCCCTGACTTCGGGAACCCATAGTGGAGTGGAGGCAGGAGACGGAGAAATAGAAACCTTGAGGTGGCGCCAGGGTGTCTTTTAGTTCTCCTTGGTCATCTCAAAGCGAACGGTGATATCATACAGGTCATTGGGTGCACCTAAAACAAACCAAGAGTCAGTTTGCTTGAAATAAATAGAAACCTTTGTTAGGAGGTTTACAGCAGGGGTCTCCAACCCTGCTCCTGGAGAGCTTCCATCCTGCAGATTTCAGCTCCAGGTTACTTGATAATTACAGGCAAGTGTGTTTGAGCAGTGTCAGAACCGAAGTCTGCAGGATGGTACAACAGATATCCAGGAGCAGGGTTGGAACATTTTTACAACATATGTAGTGTCAGTGAGGAACCCTCAGAGAGGGCCTAACTTTTTGTAAAAACAATTATAATAATTTATAATTTTTAAATAAATGTTTTAAAATATAGTATTTTAAATAAAAAAATAATTATTACAAATTTTAATTAAGCAATTCATAATTTGACAAACATTATCTAAATAAAATAGTTTTTCTCAATTGCTTTGGCTCAATTCTCGAATTAAACTTTTCCCGAAACAATAAATTCAGATCTCTTAATGCATTCGTACACAAATAAATGTACTGCATAAATACAAATGTTCATATACTTTTTTTTTTCTATGTACTATTGACTCTTCTCAACAAATATCAGATTTTTTATAAAACCTTCATTTCCATGGTTGACTGTCATGGTGAAAAAACAACTAAACATTTTGACCAGTGTGGCTCACACGATGACAAAAATACTTTATATTTTGGTGGCCTTGGCCAAATTACTGACACGATAACTAGGTTTTGAAGCATGAATTAAATGTTTTGGGTGAGTAACTACATTTTGCAGACATGCAATAAAGTTCTGAAGTTCCAGCAAACAGTTGTGACATTTGCACTCACAGTTTAGAGAATGTTAAGATTGTTTCGAAAAATATGCCAAAGCAATTGAGAAAAACTGTAAATACAATTTCTCTGAGAAAAACAAAAAACAGCCTCTCTAAATCTGCCTAATCAGTGAATGGGTTAAATGAACGCCGCCCATTTTCTCCATATTTGAATGTGTTTCGCATAGCGTCTGCGACTCTATGATTTGACGTCCAGCTATGAAATTACAGAGGGCCAAGCAATAGTAAATCAATGAGAGAGTAATTTCGAATGACAGAAATATTGACCAATCATATCGTTTCTCTAAATGGGCGGGCCTTGTTATCACTAACTGACAAGTTCCACCCACTGTGGGGATCTCTATTGGAAAAAAAGATATATGCTGATAAACTAACTAGTTGTTATTCATGTCACGATGGAAGCCACAA